GGAACAACTCCTTCATTCTTAAACAGTGAATTAAATACATTACATATACATTGTTTTCTATTTAATATAAGTGCACATTTTATTCTTTGGTTCTATGTTCTGTGTTTTATCATCTGCTATATGCTGCTGTGATCCTGGAGCTCTACTGGCTGGGTCATTATTTAATCAAAATATTAAAACAATGACCATCAGTCTTTGTCCACAAGCCAACATTGTTAAGAACATGAGAAATGATCACACGAGACAAATGTAAAGTTCACTGTGGAGTATTTTTAATATTCTGAGAGCATCAGCGAAAATCTGACAGTTCGTCTTACAAAACACTTCTCTTAAAAATCTGTCTAAACGATACGTTAAAATAAAATGAAACAACAGTGAAATCTGAATGAAAATCCATCAACACAGACAGAGAACATCTTCCATAGCTCCACATGTTAACATGTTAACCGTCATCAGACTTCTGGCAGAATCCCAGGACTTTATTAGCTGTGAGAGAGAAAGATAGACAGCATTTAGTACATGCAAAAAATACAAATGTCTTTAGAGGCTGCATTTCAACCTTAAAGGGAAACATCTCATAGAACACAAGGTTGCTGGTCTAGTTTGTTAGTGTTAAATTCACAAAATAACACTAACAAACAAAAACACCAAAGTCACACAATAACACAAACTGATTTAAGCAGCAGTAGACTAGACACTCCAGTGTTCTGCTGAGGCAAAATGACCGTTTTTGTCAATGCAGTCTGGTGGCTTTGAAAGACAGGAGATATAATGACGGTTTCAAAAATGATCTTACTCTTGAACAAAAAGGTCTATTTCTGTAGAGATCCTTTCCATGACGTTGTCAGACACCATAACAATCTGAGCCTGTCAGCGGCAAGTTGTAGGATTATGTTGCAACCCCTTTATGCAGCTGCAGCACTTTCACTCAATATTGGACCAGTTTTTAAAAACGTAGTCACTTAATATTTTTATTTGTAGAAAATGATTATGCAGGAAATATTTCTGTCAACAGGCTAAAATGTGGAATTTAGTATGATGTGACATTCACTTTGTATAACTCCCACGTGTTCACCTGCTCTGTGTTTTTGTCCACTTCAGGGCGTGTCTCGGAGGCACAGATGTGGTCGGGTGGTAGAAGGTACATCCGGATCGTTTACACTGCGCCGCGAAGCGACAAGGCTGTAGATGAGAGGAACAATATTTTGAAAGGGATTAAGTGCACAAAAAAATCAACTAAAGCACTTGCACTTTAATCTAAATCATACATGCCTTTCAAATTACAATTACAGAATCAAAGCTCCACATCTGTAGGTTTTACCTTAGGATGATAAAACGGACAGTCCATCTTCTTGCAGTCTGGGAAGAAGCGACACACACTGGTGGTTTGCACTGGCTGCATGGCTGTGACCACAGAGAGTCAAGTTAGAGATACATTTTTCAAAACTGTGTTGTGGGCAGAGAGAGGTAGAGAAGTGTGTGTTGGATCACAGAGGTGATGAAGGAGTACCTGGCCTGGGCGGGGGAGCAACTGTGCTTCTGCGGCTGACATGAGTGAAGGGGCACTCTGGCTTGGTACACCTGGCGTCGTATTTACAATTAGGATGAACAAAAAGGCATTTATCCCCAAACTTGCAGCTGGGAAAAGTCCTGCAGAAAAACAAAAACACATAAACAAATCATGAAAAACGATTGAGTGAGAGTTCAGTGATAAAAGCTCCACCATCATGTCTTCAGTTTATACTCACTTGCACTGTGTTGTAGGGTGATGGTACACACACTCATCTCCACTTTTACAGACCGGCCAGAACTTGCAGCGCTCCAACACCTTCTGTTTCTTTAAAGGGACGGCATCGTCCTCCGCCATCTCAATGTCCATCACGTCAGCTGTCAGGAGAAGACAGAATGTAAAGGTTTCATACAGCCAGGCTTTTAAGCCAACAACCTTGTGTGCAACCACTTTGTAACTTTGTTTAAAATGTGCGATAGAAATAAAGTATTTATTATTCCGGTATTACACCAAACTACAGTAAAGAATTATTGTGATCAGACCCCACACCTTCTGATGATGGGACTCCTCCCTGTAGTCTGTGAAGGATGCTGACTTTGGGCTCCCTGTTGACGTGGGCGGTCGCCTCCGTCACCTTTGTGGGCGGTCTCACGTCGTCCAGCTCCATCTCACAGTCTGCAATATTTCCCAGCGGGCTCGGTACCCCGTCTAATGTCACTATGAACTTGGGGCTGGCAGAGTCGCCCCTCTCCTTACTAGTGTGAGAGGGAAATTCCACAGAGCAGGAAAGAGAAAATAAAACATACGACAAATCAATAACACTTAAGGCTTATTTATAAATGGACAGATCTGTGAGCATACTCTTATAATGTGTGTGTGTGTACCTGGCCTGGACAGTGCGTGGCAATGCAGACAGGACATCCTCTTTGCTTAAAGACTGAAGACGCTGCTGGCTTCTGGCTTGGGCTTCTTGTAGTTGCGGTCGACTCACTATGAAGGAACGGGTGTCAAAGGTCTTTGCTTCACTGCCTGTGGCAACCTCAACGCCTAGAGGTACATCACAAACACACACATCCCACTGTAAATGCATGAAGACGATCCATTAAGCGTGTTTAGGGATATTTATCATTAGTTACTACTTTTAAATTTGTAAGAAACCCATAGAACAAACACCCACCATAGTCACTCTGCTCTCCTCCATCATTGCTCTCTGGTAATTCCAACTGGAGGCGTGAAGCTAGAGATCTCACTGGAGCTGGGTAGAAAATGTAACAAACATAATAATCACACACAAAGAATAATATCAAAAAAACATACAAAATTGGATGTTAGTTCACTTGAAATGATAGAATAGATAAGTTATCCTAATACTTCAAATACTGAAAACATTTAATATTTAGTTCATTAGTTTACCTCTCTAAACAGTAAGTATGTAAACTATGATTCTGACTTTTCGGTGTGTTTAAAGCAGTGATCAGCAAAAGGCACCCCACACGCTGCACCAATCATACTGTTCACGTACCGGGTGTTCTGGAGGGAGGTAGCTCTGTGGAGGTGTAGGCCTGAACCCTGGGGGTCAGGCTGTGGAGGTGCTCCTGGACCAGCTGGATGGCCGCAGTCATCTCTTCACTGCTGGCCAAGCGAGTACGGGGTGCCACGGGAACAGTCTGTCTCTGTGGTACTGGTGGGGGGGGGGAGAGAGAGGTCAGTGTAATGAAAGTGATGATAACAACTGAGACGTTCATGGTAACCCGTTAAACGTACTTGTGGGGTAGGCTGTGGTTTTGGTGATTGAGTCCTGAGCCTCAGAGATGGCCTTCAGTATCAGATTCCTGTTGGCTTGCTTGCCTGGAGGGAGAGTAGGTCTGAAACAATAGAAACAATGGCAACGTTAAAGCCCAGTAAAGACTGTAAGCTGACCCGTAATTCAAAACAGAATTTAAGTTAAGTCAGTGCTGGATTATCTGTTGTTGTTCCTTTTACGTAAGTCTAATCACAAGTCATTAAAGTGTTTAAGAATGAATTACAATCCTGGTTTTCCTTCTAATATGACCGTGTTTACCATCTAATCATTCAAAATATCATATGAGGTATTTCACACTAACTTGCGCTCTGGTTTAGAGGGTAGGGACACTCTACTGGACAGGCCTCTGCCTCCGTAGCCTGTGTCCTCCTCCTCCACGTCATCGCTGTCCTCTTCTGCTGCTCGGTTCACTCGGACCACTGAACTCGCTACTGGCGCCTTACGCTTCCGTGACAACTCTTCCTGCTGAACCAAAGAGGGCAGAAGATTGTTATCACGGGTCCTCACCTGTCTGACAATGTGTCAACAGAAAGTGAGCATCGCAAAGATCATGTGTGTGAACATCTCATTGAATCGTACCTTACTGGATCCGGTTCTGGAGGTTCTGCTGCCTCTGCCGTCCTGCTGCCTGCTGTGAGAGGATCCTTCTGTGGATCGACACGTCTCCACAGAGCTTACTGATGTAAACCTGCTCTGACCCGGTCTGTAGATTTCAGCCGTGGGTCTACTCGCTGCACCGCGTGTTCGACCGTGGTTGGGGCCCAATTCCACAAGGTCCTCAGCAATGAGGTCGTCATCCATCTCCGGTTTGATGTCAATAACAGCCTCTGAGGGGAGCAGCTCTATGAGGGGCTTAACAGTGGAGGTGAGTCGAGAAGAACTCTTCTCCAAGGAGCCTCTTCTGATAACAAACAGAAGAAGTGTGTGAAATTTGCAGACAATGGCACGTGTGCTGCTCGAGATGATGAGATATAAACAGTGAATGTCAGCACATGAGGCCAAAACGCAACAATTAAAGCTTTCCATCTGGCACCTGCTTTCATGAGCGGAACTGGACACGCGTGCCTCAGTCCTGTCAGAGCGGGAGCTCGACACCGCCAGCACCTTCGCCTCCTCTGGTCTACTGTCTTCACTTACAGATGATCGGCTCTTCGCGGTCACAGCGGCACTGTCAGACGGGAGCTGATGTTTGAGGGACGCAGGCTCTGTAACAACCACACAGACAAGCGGAGGAAGAAAACAGCAGCTTGTGTGAGACACTGACACTAAGGGTCACTGGCTGATTAAAAAGTGTAGAAAACGTTCATTCAACGTCTAACTTACCGACTGCAACAGATCTTAACTTCTCCAGGACACCCTGTAGCCTAAAAACCAATCAACAAAGCCATGTTACGACGAGAAGAGATACAGTAGTGTTACAGCTGCAAAAACAATGGGAAATCTAAAAGGCAGTGATTAGTTTTGATCGTACCAGGCTGTGAATTTAATAGTGTTGTTTCCGAGGAAAAGGGACAGATCATCAGCCATCTGTTGGGAGGTTTTCTTGTTTGCCACCATCACCATGATATAGTCAGGAAGCTCTTCATCTGAATCGGCAAAGAGCGGAAACATAGCTGTAACATTTAATGTCTGACTGGAGCACCAAGCAGCAACCAGATCTGCATTTCATTCACTTACCGATATATGCACCGAGCTCTTGAAGCTTGCCCTTGATAGCAGCCTAAAACAGGCGGAAAGTAGAGCACAGATGAGATGATATCAAGCTAAACAACTCATGGACAGCGTCGTGCTGCACTGATATCATTCATTCACAAAGCTACAGTTACCTAACACCCAGTAACTTAGCATTTACGTGTAGTTACTACAGAAGTTAACTCAAGAGAACAAAGAAAACGTCTCTAAATGTCTGCTGGACGCGTTAGTTAGTGATAAAGCTGACCTCCCCGACCTTGTAAATAAAAACCTTGTTACCATTCTGCAAACACGCTAGCTAGTAAGCTAATGGTAGCTAGCAACGTCTACGCTACGGCAACCCTAACGCGGCTGTAAGTTCGCGTTAAATCCTCATACTGAGCCCGTAAAGTACACACTCTTATCTTCTTGCTGATCTCTGTGCCGATCTCCATGTTTGTCGCTTTATTCAAATAGAAAAAGTTATAAAAGAAGCAACTGTTTTTTTTTTTTTCTTCTTCCAGCTACACCGCTAACAGGCAGAGACAAATGTGACGCGAGATCACGTGGTCGACGAAGGGAGCCGAGCAGGGACAAAACTGTCTGTCTATTGTTTTTTTCTTCAGTAGTTTTATTATTATTATATCAACTTTTAAATTCTGTATATTCAAGTACTGCAAAATAAATTATTACGCTGCTGCACACTGTCAGAATTACAGTTACAGTTATTTAAAATATAAAAATATGAAACATTTTTGTACTACAGACACGGGCGGCAACAATCATTAAAAAAAAGGTATACAATCACAAATACATCAGCAGTTGGTTAAAACCCTCCCAGAAATGAGACAAACAATATATGTAATATATATAAGATCTACGGAAAACAATAGAGAAAAAAAAATAATTTCGTATAGCCTACTCTTTTATTTCAGATATTTTAATATATATATATATA